ACAAATATAATAAGAAGAGAAAACTAATTCTCTCGGTTACTAAATCACGAAATAGTAACCAAGAGAATTAGTTTTCTCTTCTTTATTATTTTATTTTGTGGCAAAGAGAAGTCCAGAAAAACCTTTGCGCAACTAAAGCATTGTCTCAATCCCAACAGAAAAAGTAACTGATATCCATATATTCCGGATTCCCCATTGAAAGTTAATTCCTCATTTTGAAAACATTTGAAATCATCCGCTTTTTGAAAAGTATAGAATGGCAAATATATCATTTCAGTATACCCCAATTGTTTCTTTTCATTATCAGTTTGATGTCAATTCATTCATGCAATGAATTCCACCCAGTTTGTAACAAGGAGGGAGTTTTCATTTATTCAATCTGAATTCCATACAATTTTCAAATGGTATGTACAAGTAATTGAATAAGAAAAAAATATGTATATGGCAAGACAATATTATTGTTGATTTCTCAGAAAATTCTATTCCCGTTGCAAATTCACTGATGAGCGTGAAATATTCATTACTTCTTTGCCATATTTGTTCACCCACTATTCTATAGCTACAGTCTGACCTTTTCTCACTGGCAGCTTAACATCCTCATTATAATTGCATATATGTGAACAGTTATTTTATTTTTATTCATTTCATATCTGAAACTACAAAGTACAAAGTCATGATGTCAGTGAAAAAAGGACAGACTTTACTTTTAATGCAGAACAAAATTTTCAGAGAAGTTCATAATGAGAACATGTTTTAGGGAAATGAGTACATGCTGTGAGGTTTTGCCCATACATTTTTTCCTTTTCAGCAAGGGGGAGTACAGAGCAACAAGTAGTGCTACCACTTCTTGTACACTGCTGTAGCAAGTTGGAGAAATGTCTAAATTTGAGGCTATTAAATCCGGAGATACCGAGAGGGAGAAGAAAGTAGATAAATTTATCTTTCTCCTACAGAAGAGCATGAATCCTTCGATTGATAAAATCGCAATTGAAAATAGAACGCAACGACAAAGACAAAAATCATTTATCTTACCAAAAACAGAAGATATCAGCGGTTTTTTTCAGTTTTTTGTGTAATGAAGTTAAGGATTCTGTAAAGAAACTGAACAAGCATTTTGATTTAAAAATATGGGAGCATTTAACAAAGTGTAGCGTTCTGATACTGTACTTTTCTATTTTGTACTATATGATAAATTACGTTTTACGATTTCTATTCTGTACATTAATGGCGAATTAGGTGTTCCCGTGCAGTTCACCACTGTGCACTGTGAATTTTAAATATTGGCGCCTGCAGTGGCCTGCTGTAGGGTCACGTGACTTTATAGGCTTCAGAAAGGAAAAGAAAAACGGCCACACAAAGAGAAAGCGAGAGACATACATATGTCATTTGAATCTTGGCATTTGACGCCAACAAAGTCACGTGACCAAAATTTCAAACTCGCGATAACCTACTCCAGTTATATATAGAGTGATCTTGGGTTAGACTGGTCTGTTTATTTTTCATTATATTTTGTGTGTTTGTTGTGTTATCGTTATTTATAATTTCAAATAGTTTCCGACTTCTTTTTGCTTTAAAAATAAATTGGAAAATAAAATAATAGAGAAGATCAAAAAGCTTGCTGTATTCATGAAACGGCTTTTTTTCAAGATATTCTACATCATGGCAATTTTGGATAAGATTTCAACCATATTATATTGTTTTTGAAACAGAAAAAAGATATGATTCCTAAAATTTTCGAAACAGATCTCTGGCTTATGAATCGTAAATCCTACATCATAATTTAACAGTTCAATGGTTCGTCACAAACAGAGAGAGAGAGAGAGAGACATCAGTGATAGAACTGATGGAATTTACTGTTGAATTTCAGAACTCGCCTTATGCATCTATTTTTGGTTGCCCACTTATTTAGTATTTAATGGTTGTTATTACTGAAATTTTGATCACGGGACATGAAATTGATGAGTTTATGAATAGATGTCGCCACCTTTATTTTTGTTTCAAGTTCAATAATTTTCAAAATATTAGTTCATTTAGAATTAATCATAATAATAATGCATAAATAAACGAACAAAAATTAAAATTTGTCAAAATTAAAGAAATTTTAGATGGCGACATCTATCCTTCATCTCAGTTATTATATGTCATGGGACTTTCTCCCAAATCCCTGACTATCTTCCTGATTCCGAAGCCACAATGGTATGCTATATTTGAGAGAGTATTATCTTAAAATTTTGAACTGTATACTGAACTTTTTCTGGAACTATGAAATAAACCTATTTATGTTTCGTTTAGTGATGGTAACAATGATATTAAAAAAAATTGTTAGCCATGAAGAAGATAGAAGGGTCTGCTATTGAAAACGCTCGGATATAATAAAAATTTATCAAAGGTTCAAATAATTTTTGTAACCACGTGTTGATAACGAAACATTGAAAACATTTGTTCACAGAAAACTTGTTAACAGAAGGATTTGAAGCTTTAACAACTTCCAATTATTATATGCGAGCGCTTTCGACAGCAGATAGTGCTATTATCTTCAAGGCTCTTAGAGTCGTCCGTCTTAGTAAGCATTCTCAGTCTTCCAAATTCCAGAAAAATAGTTGAAAGAATATGAGATTCTGTGAGGAAATAAGGTTGACTGACCCTGCATGGTTCTGTGTCACACGGCATGGCTTATGGATCCATTCATTAAGCACCATACTAACTTTATATTTTGTTAATTGATTTTAGATGGTCGCTATGCTGTAGTATTTTGGGCTCTCCATGGATATTTCGTCCCTACCAATAAAATAGTCACCAAGGACAGTTCTGGAAAATCCAGTGTGACTAAATTCACCATCAAGGATTCCCAAGAATCTTTTTTGTATATTGGAAATTGCCAACAACAAGTAGAAGAGCACATACGGTTTTTGAAATCGAAGAAGAAATCGATTCAACTGTGTATCTTATGTACTGGAGATGACATAAAGTACCCAACAGACATATCTGTTTATTTTGATGATATCAGATACCAATTTTTACATATACTCCGGGCTGTAGATATATGTTATAAAATCATTTATTTATTTGATCTTGATTTTCCTTTAGAATCAGAAATGTTTTGGAATTTTATAGAACTCTTTTTTTTTAAACAAAGGGCCGTCATTCTTTTCCAAAAGTTCATATATTATCAGAATATCTGAAGGAAAATCAGGAAACTGATAAAGATTAATTAGGCTTAAGTATTTTGTATGAACATCAATAATTATAAAAATCATAGTATTGTTACCAACAATAATGAATTATCAATAAATTCGTACTTCTTTGACCATTATAGAAAAAAATCAACGAAAAATGTTTATTATTTTATTTTCGACTAAAAATATCAAAATTGAGTGGAAAACGATCAATCGTCGGTGAAGGCGCTTCAATACTGGCAGCAACAATTAAATTGATCAGGGTCGGAAGAGACAGATCTTATGTCACCTTCCAATTTTTTGCAGAAAGCTTATAAAGTGATAATTTCAATCCTTCTAACAAGTCAGAAATGTCTATATCACATAATGATATGAAATAAAGGTTCCAGTGGAACTAATTAAAAAAATAATATGCGAAAGTATATAGATCCACTGAACACAATACTTCATTTAATGAATACTTTCATCAGTACAATATACTAGGTATTACGTTAAAACATAGTTCAAAGTTCATCTATCCAGTGAACACGTTAATTACTTTATAAACACATTCATCAGTTTTATGAACATTTAATGCGTAGTAGTGTAAAAACATTAATTTTGGTAACAAGAGAAAATGAAAATAATTAAAAGTATGTGCACTGGTTAGATTGGGAGCCCCAGAATTCGAGAGAGCCTTCGCTTGAGAATACTTCATCGAACTACCAGAGACGAGTTACGACTAGGATCCAGATGAAACTACTGATTTTCCTGTAAGTCTTCTCCTTCCATTTTTGAATAAATTACAGGTGAAAAGAAATTTGTGAATTAAACTCTATGAGTAGAAGTAGATCAAGATCACCAATAATTTTTGAGAATTCAAGACATTACGATAATATAATGGTTGCCCCTACTCAAGTAGAAATCAATATGGCAAGAGATATTTTGCCAGAATACTCGGGAGGCTCAATATTGAATTATTACAAAGACAAAAAGAAATTTGCTTATTCAATAAATTACTCTTCGAACAAGTCAAATCTAAGTTAACCGGAGAAGCTAGAAGTATATTGATAACCTCTCATTGTTCTAAATGGTCTGAAATTAAAGATGCTTTGTTGAGTAGATTTGGAGATCCGCGATCAGAAGAACTTTCAACTCATGATCTGAGTATATGCTATAAAATATATTCAGAGCAATATTTTGAAAAAAATTGAAACGAAACTACAAGTACTATTAGAGCACATAAACATACGTGCACCCAACAGAGATATACGAATTTGTAAAGAAAGAATGTACATTGAACAAGCCTTGAATACTTTCAAATCAGGAATTTTAGAACCGTATTATTCACATCTATTGAATTTGCCTATTGATTCTATCGAACAAGCCCGTTTTGAATGTAGACGTTTTGACAATAATAAAGCGCAAATCAGCTTNAACCCTCGATTTGGCACAAGGTTTTCATCAAATTGAAATGAGCCCGGAAAGTATTGAAAAAACCGCATTTTCAGTAAATAACGGCCACTATGAATATACCCGTATGCCATTTGGTTTGAAAAATGCTCCATCAACATTTCAAAGAGTTATGGATAATATCCTTAGAGAATATCAACATAAAACATGCTTTGTTTACATGGATGATGATGTAATATTTTCAAAATCGCTTCACGATCATAAAATTCATTTAAAACAAATATTTGAATTCAATTTGAAAATTCAATTGGATAAGTCAGAATTTTTCAGAAAAGAAGTTGCTTTCTTAGGACACATCATTACACCTGAAGGAATTAAACCTAATCCTACAAAAATCAAAGCTGTACAAGAATACCCGTTACCCACTACAACAAAGGAAATAAAAAGCCTTTCTGGGATTAATAGGTTACTTTCGTAGATTCATTAACAATTTTGCTAAAATAGTTTCACCATTTACTAGATGTTTGAAAAAGGGAACAAAAATTAACCCGAACGATTCTGAATACAAAGAAACATTCCATAAATGTGAAGAATCATTAACTAACGCCCCTGTGTTAGCTTATCCAGATTTTTCCAAACCTTTTCAACTCAATACTAACGCTAGTAACGTTGCATTAGGAAGAGTTTTATCACAAAATAATCACCCAATTGCTTACTACTCTAAAACTCTTAGCTCAGCCGAAAACAATTATTCAACTATTGAAAAAGAATTATTATCGATAGTAGAGAATACTAAACATTTCAGACCTTATCTTTATGGAAAACGATTTTAATTGAAACTGACCACAAACCTATTGTTTGGCTATTCTCATTGAAAGAACCAAATTCTAGATTAGTTAAATGGAGATTGAGATTAGAAGAATTTGATTATGAAGTGAAATACGGCAACGGTAAAGAAAACTTTGTGGCTGATGCAATCTCACGTATCGAAATCAATGTTAATGAAAAATTATGTTCTGATGTAACAAACGAAAATAACGATGATTCGTTATCATTAATTCCAAACGTGGATACAGATGAAGATCCAAAGTCAATATTAGATAATGCCAACGAAATACTCGCAAATAGTCCTGAGATACCAGAAGGTGCCCAGCATACAGCGATAGAAAATCCAATTTTCACGACACCAATCTCAGAAAAACCAGAAAGAAAGAAATTATTTTGTAATCTTACATACTTCCTCTCGTTCATTGGTGTTGATTCAGGATACATTTGGTTGCATTTTCTACAAGTACTGGCAATGATTTGATCACACTGTCCGTGTATAATAAATAATTTCATAAGAACTTCGTTTGAATACTCAATATTTGCATTCATTTTGGAAGATGATTCGAAACACCATCGATAACTCTTTGTAAATTACTCATAAAAGTAACCAAACTGCTATAAGCTTGATAATTCCACTACTACCTAAATCCAAATTTAAAAAAAAATAATATTTCAAGAAGAAGCGACTTTATTGGGAAAACTTGACGATTTAGGTATAGGGACATGATATATCATCTTGAAGCATTTTTCACCATCTTTCAATTTACCGAGTAATATACAGGGGGTTTCATTTGAAAAAATGAACTTTTGACTACTTTTATGCACAATGGAAATAATAGTAATTTTAGCACGCCCTGTATGATATGGAGTCGATTTCTTGGTGTTATTTGAATATTTCGAGTTTGT